GGGTGAGGGGTTATTGACAGGTGCATGTGTGACCTAAGAGCAGATGCACTGGAAAGTTTTTATCCAGCATGGATGTTGGCTTCCCCATAGCCTCATGGGTCAAGCTCCCTCTCCCTAGCCTTCCACAGATTATAAACTTTAGTCCTTCCCCAAACCAGGAAGCCACATATGATTAGGAGAGAATTGCATATTACTGGCTGGGAAGAGTGGCTGGATACTCAGGTGAGGGTCCAATAACCCTGCTTATCCCTCCTTTTATGAATAGACACCCATAGACAACAAGCCCAATTACGATGATCTTTTGCAAGGAGGCACAGCTGAGGTGATGAATATGACTCAAAGAGAGCGCTGTGCAGCATCATCTTATTAAAAGAATGTGGAATCCAAATTACACACATAAGATATGTAATAAATTAATATTATCTGTGTACACATTGGGGCTTTGTAAGTTCCCAGGTAAACCTTATAAAAAACATAAGACAGTCAAAAATCTTTTTTACTTTATGTAGTTTAGAGAGTGGTCTACCAAAACCTTGCTTTAGGTCTCCAATTAGTATAAGTGGTAGATAGAGAGAAGCAACAGGTTCACAGCAAAACACTATCCAGCTGATGTTCACAATGTCCAGCAGAAATCAACTAAGGAAACCCTCTTAAAGCTGGACTTACTGAGGATTTTTTTAGGTAGAGGGTCTTGTTCATCCTCTCCACGGACTGTAAGCAATCTTTTATCTATCTTGATCTTGCTTGTTCATTTATTAAGTAGTTAAATTAATCTTGGTATTTACTATAAATTTCCATTACTCTAAGTTACCTACTTTTCTCATTGTGACAAGATAGAGCATCCCATTAGCTGGGTTTTTTTTTTTTTTTTTTTTTTATGGTATAGACATCTTTGTATCACAAGATAAATAATAATAGCCTCTGTTGGGAACAGTTTAGATGAGTCTTCCCATCTGTTGGGTCTTGCATTAGGAACAGAGACCACCAAGAGATAGAAATTTTGATTTTAAGAGGTCACCTGATATTTCTAAACTTTATAGTCATGGATATGTGGCAGCGAGCACCCATGATCAAGCAGGACCAGGCTGACAGAAGTATCTGCCTTTACCAGTGTCAAACCTGAGATCCTCTCTGGCTATACTCGGGTGACCAGATGCATGAAAACTTCTACCCACAATTACTTAGCTTGTGTCTATTAATGGAGGAGGACAGCCTTCTGAAAAACTTAATAAAAGAAGATATTTTGGAACATCTCCCAAATCTTTTTTGTCTCCCTCTCCAAAGTGCTCCCTGGAGATGTTCCTCATGGAGTCTTATCCCTTTCCCATGAGAAAAGGTGGCACCTGTTCCTATCTTTATCAAGGTGGGCATGGGTACCTGTATTTTCTCTGTCTTTATTAATGACTCTAAAGAAGCGGGAGTCTGCTTGGATTATTCACTGTATCAATGTGACTCTCTCATGCCCTGTGAAATTAATGGATTCTTTCTGTATGTTGCCTGGTTAATCTTATCCCGCCTGTGCAGGACCCACCATCCATAAAACCTCTGGAGCAAATATAGGCTCCCATGTATCAGGGAAGGGGCAGGAATTAAGACTAGTGGAGCCTGCATCTTGTCTTCCATCCAAGCAGGCCATTCCTTTTTGTTTCCCATTGCTGTAGGTATCTGCTGTTAGCAGCTTTTCTTTTGCAGTGTTTGGCCCTGAGATACTGCAAATTCACATGAGCTTTCCAGGTCTGGCCATCACATAATGTCAGGTCCCTTGGTACCTGGCTGGTGTTGGAGGGAGGCCTATGACTAGAAAAACTTTTAGCTCCCTTTAGAAAATAACAAACATATTACGCAAAATAATGTAAAATCCAAAATAGTCACCTTTAGAAATTAGTAAATGTCGTACAAAAAGATGTCAAACCCCCAAAGAACCCCCTTTAAAAATAGACAAATATGTCACACAAACAATGTCAAACCCCAAAATAGCCCCCTTTAAAAACCAGGAAATATCATGTAAAACAGTGTAAAAATTTAAAATAGTCACTTTTAGAAACCAGTAAATATGCTATACAAGAAGTCAAAACCCAAAATAGTCCCCTTTAGAAACAGGTCAAAACGGTATCAAAATTCAAAATACAGTTGTGGAGGTCTGGTATTACTTCTTTAGTCTGACATAAAAATGTATTGACCTTTATCACATGACAGTAGAGACTGTGTTGTAATCTCTGGGTTTTCTATGTATATGATTCCATCAAGAGTCCAAGAAAGTGCAAACTAAAAAGAGGGAAAAAATGACAAGAGGATTGGGATACAGTTCAGGAAATTCCCAGAGTAGTATGTTCCCACAGGACACAATAGTACCATTAAGTGTGTGGTGTTGACATTTTGTTTTATACCACATGGATGGATTAATTAAGATGGCAGTAAGGTCACATGGGTCACCGTCATTTTGATATTGTTGCTAACCAAGATGGTAACAAAGTCATGTGGCTGCCCCCCGTCTTATGTCTCAGTCAAGATGACCACTAGATCACAGAGTTGCTGCCACCTTGACGAGGTCACCAGCCAAGATGGTGACAAAGCCACATGGCTACATTGGTAAGCTCAGCTCCAGGAAAAAAGTGAACCCATCTCTGACCAGGACACAAGACCTGTGGGATTCATATGTCTCACAGATTAAATGAGCACAGCCACCTGTCCCTTCTTTTTATAAAATTTCATAGTCTCAAACCAAGGAAGGGACTCCAGTGTTTCTTACCACCAATTGTAATTGTAAATGCCAAGAGATGTCATCTGGGTCTCCTCTCCAGGTTGCCAGGTATACTCCCCAGCTCCTTGTGCCCACTCCTACGTACAAGCCGTGGCTGGAATAAGAACTCATGAAGGAAGTGGAAGAAATGGGGAGGTGTGCTAGAATGTGACCTTGATTCCACTTTGTTTTACCCAAGCATGTCACAGGCTAAGATTAGACGGGATCTGTGGCCCTCCTTGTTGACTGGAAGTCAAGTCCCTTAGAAACAGTTCATTAAAGACAGTCCTGGTTTAAAACCTTAGCAGGCTTGTGTGGAGGTTCTACCCTTTTAGAAAAGAAACTGCTGGGGTTGGAGAGTTGGCTCAGCTGTTAAGAGCACTGACTGTTCTTGCAGACGACCCAGGTTCGATTCCCAGCACCCACATGGCAGCTAACAACCGTCTGTAACTCAGTTCCAGGGGATCTGACACCCATTTCTGACCTCCAAGGGCATTGTACAACATGGGTGTACTTACACACATGTAGGCAATATACAAATACACATAAAATAAAAATAATAAATATAAGAAAACTAACTACCTAGGGATCACAGGATCTAAGGTGCTATTGGAACTAGCCATACTAAGCCATTCTGTTCTAGTTTTTAATCTTTTGTAGCTTTTTAGTTTAAGCATTCCCTGGTAAGGGAATCCTCCAGTTTAATCCAGAATATTTTTCTGGTCTCTTTAGTCCATTAAAAAAAAAAGAATTCAGCTGAACCTTCATCCTTTCCTATTTGGATATTAAAAGCCTTACTGATATTTTGAGATTGAGGAACCAATTCTTCCATCCCTCTCACAGTCAGAACCCTCAGTCCCTGCATATCTCCCCCCCCGCCCTGCCGGCCGCCGGACTTCATCATTGTCTTATCTGGGCTCCTGGGTGGGGAACAGAACCTCTGGTACCAGGACCCCCGACCTCAATGCTACTTAGTGGGGCATGAGGGGAAATAAAGTCTGAAACTTCTGGGGACTCTGAGGGAGGTGGGAGTTTTGGAGGTTTCTTTCTCATGGTTTAAAAAGTCTTTTTTCCTTAGACGGAGCAGAAATGGGTATGTTGAAGGGATACAAAGCCTCTGGGCCAGAGGAGCTCATTTCTCCGCTGGGGGAATACGCTTCTTTTCTTCATTACTTTTTCTCCTTTTCTTCTCCTTCTCCCTATTTCCCCTAGAGCTCAGTTTGGCCCAAGTGTTTCCCATTCCGGTCCCACTTAGAAGCTCAAACCCCATCCCTAAGGAAGAAATTTCTTGCATCCAAGTTACAAGTCCCCTAAAGCTCAGCTTGCCATCTCTAAGGAGGAAGGTTTTTGCATCTAAGTTTGCTGCTTTGCCCCTGAAGGAACTGTGTGTCAGGGCTCCACACTCATTTTACACTCAGTTGCACATCTCATTTACTCCCAAACAACCTCCAAAGTGTCCTGACCACCAAGGCAGTACTTTGGCCTCTCCATGACTTTTTCTACAGTGCTCTGTGCACAGAGTTTCCTGGTATCCTCAGTGCTTTCTTGGGCCCTTTCCCTCATTGCTGAGAGACTGTCCAGTCTCAGGATCATTACTGATCCAGGGAGTTCCAAATGCCAAAGCCCTGGGGCTATAGCAACAAGGCAGTGGGACTTGTCACTCCAAAGTTATGGTTCTGGAATTCTTCCTAGATGAAATTAGACTCCCAGACTGAGCCCCCAAATTGTTAGAAATAAAATCTGAAGTCCAAGGACCCCATCAGTACCACACAAGAAACAAAGTGAAAGTAACTTGGCAAGTTTTAATTTTGCAAAAGAGTGTGTTATGCGGTCATTCGGATCCAGCAAGCACACAGAACCCAGAAGCTTGGTGGGCCTTTATCCCTAAAGCAAGAGCACTGTGTCTTTTCCCCAGTGACTATGGTCTGACCTCACAGTCTTTCCTGGTTGTCTAGTTTAAAAGAGTTGGTGCAAAGGGAGGAGGAAGAGCTCCACTGCCCCAGGCCATCAGGTTCAGGGATGCAGCAGGGCCTTGCCTTAAGCAAGTCATAAGGCTGTGGAGGGATGATTAGAATTTCTTGTTGGAAACCAAGTTCCACAGTTTACAGGATCTGAAAGAAAAGACTAATATTTGGTGTTCCTTATACCAGGATGCTCTGAGCTTCTACTGCCTCCACTTTCACTTAACTCTCCATGACTTCTCCTTGGTCACAGCCTGAGACCTTGGGTGGATCCTGAGGGTTTCTTTTCTTTTCTACAGAACACAGAGGTGTTAGTTTGGAAGTTTGGAGAGGAGCACACCAGGAGGCCCTGCGTTCCCCACCAAGATCTAGGCCAGGTAAGGAAGGGCAGCCTTTCCTCTTGGTCATATACTGGAATTGGATAGATTCTGAGGGATTTTCTTCTGTTTTTACAGAGCACAATCGTGTCAGTTTTGATGTGTCAGTGGGAGCACACCAGGAGGCCTTGAGTTCCCCACCAAGATCTAGGCCAGGTAAGGAAGGGCAGCCTTTCTTTGTAGATACCTTTCTGAGACCAGTGCTGTAGACCCTAAGTTCAGACCAGGGATCTCTAGACTTTGCTGCTCAGGAGCGTTTTACTGCCCTCCTGGAAAGTTTTTATTTAGGAAGCTTAGTGTTGGAAGTTCACACAGGGTTTACATATGATAATTGTCAGGCAGTGTAAAATGCACATGGGAATTTTTTCTATCACTATAATAAGAAAAGAGCACAATGCATCCAAGGCTGTGGCGACTGGCCCAGTATCAGACCTCCTTTGATGAATGCACAAACAGGTGAGGGACGTGGCAGCCTGATCCCAGAATTCCAGAAGCCAGGTGCCTTCTCAGTCTTCTCAGCACCCCAGGAGCGAACACTCCCCCACTCCAAGTCTCTGCATCAGCAAAGCCTGAAGGAGCCTGTTAACTCTGAGTGAGCCAATTGTCAAAAGTCTCTTAATTCTTAGTGAGCAGGGTGCCATTGTTCTTTAGGGACAAGGGAGGCAGCCGCCTGTCCTCCTTATTTTGTGAATTGATCTATAGCAACATATGTTGTAAATCTATTACAATGTGGGATATATAGCTTTAAAAACCATTGCAATAAGCAAGAAATAATGAATTATGGTGAAAGAACAGCCATGACTGGTCCCAGGAATGGGTGAAGCCAGGAAAACCAGTCAGGCCAGACCCAGGCTTTGCCTTTATGAAGCTTGTTAGCTTTTTTGATTTGGTCTATCTGTTGTGGAATAATATTGGAATTGTCAGTGATATTAAAATAGCATATTCTAGGATTTTTTTCACAGCCTAAGTGATATTTTAGTAACAGGAAATCAGTAGTGGCTCCATTCTGTAGAATCGATGTATGAAGTTTTTTTAACTTTTCTGAGTCATCTCTGCTCATGCCTGTATAGAGAGCTTGGCTGCCTTGCTGAAGCTACAGTCCAATTGTGAAACTTCTTTGTCACCCCACTACTAGACCTGGAATGGATAAAATGAAATCCACAACGTGGAGACTTGGCCAGGACTTAGGAGGGCAATTGGTTATCACGGTCGGTGGGGAGGCCCCTAGCAACCCAATGAGTTGAAATAAGGAATGGTAATGGGGAACATCTGATGGAGCATATTTCAGGGAAGTTGGCAGGCAAAGCTTGGAAAGCAGCACCATTACATAAAAAGTTCCATCCCACAGGGTGTTTTTTTTTTGCCAGTGGGCGAGGAGATGTGTTCAACAGAATAATTTAAAGGTGGTTAAGAAACAATGCACAAACATTTTTTTCTGCATGACAAAGGCAACTTGTAATGCTTTCTCTTCATGAAACAACCTGATCTTGACTCATAGCATCATCCCCAGAAACACTGACAATACTTGTTATCTTACAGATAAGCCCATGAAGTTATTAGCTAACAATTGATGTACCAAGTTTTTCTCCTGTACGTAGAACATACTCTTGTTTATGATATTTATTATTGATAAACTTGACTAGGTATTTTTCATTTTTATACCATCTAATAAGTCCCTTCACAACCTTAGAGCATGGGAAGATACACTTCAGTATCATAGGAGACCCCACAACAGTTGGCCCTACCTGGGCCACAGAAGGCATACGCACTCTGTGTAGTACAGACACGAATGAAGGCAAGCATCATCAGGAACATAGTCATAGGGAAAACATCACCTGTCATTTTTAATTTGACATTTACTTTTTTGAGTGAGTTTCTTTAGCTGGCCCCAGGTAGGAGCAACAGCTTGTTGAGTACGAGGCATGTTTTCACCCTTGGTGGTGGTAATATGCATTCTCTTGCAAGGGTCCTCTTCACAGTCAAAGCTTGGACATGTCACAGTGTGGCTTTTATCTTCGTGCTGGTTCCCAGAAGTCCTCACCGTGATCTGTAGATACCCAAGCGTAACCCCAACCCCATACTTTAACGTGGCCTGGCTTCCATTCATTAGAGACTAGATCCTTTCACCAAATAGGTTGTGAAATCAAAATGGGAGTGGCTATAACCCTTTGTTGCCATAGGCGATTGTTTCTTAGGGGTGGCATAAGTCCCCCCCTTTATGTTTAGATAGATATAACTTGAGAGTGTGATTTTTGTGCTTTATAATAGCCTGGCCTTGAGGATTGTATGGGAACTGGGTGCTGTGGGAAATGTGTCAATCAGTAACAATGCAAGCAAAGCAAGTCTAAGAGGGAGCATTGTTTAATGCTGTGAGGAAGGCTAGGATAGCAGAAGTGGTTAGCACAGGAGTGACAACATGGGTAGTCTCTTCCTTGCTTGGGCAGTGGCCCAAATGAATCCAGAGGATGTATTAACAGGGACGTGAACATTGAGAGACATTAGAAAGTGAGAACATGAATTTCATCCACTAGTCAAATTTTATTAGGTTAAAGATTCTGTGTTTGCTCATGAAGGGGTATGGAATGCAGGACAAAAAGGGCATGAGGTGATGGTACCCTGTGCCTGTGATTGTATTAAAGAAAATTTATGACACAGGAAGGATGTGGGGACATGCGATAGAGCATGCCGGTGTTGAGCATCTGTTGTAGCACAAGGGACACGGGTTGGTGGGCCTGCTCATTTCCTTGTGATAGTGGTCCTGGTAAACCTGAATGAGAACAAATGTGAGTGATGTGCAGTGGGTGTCTCTGTTGTCTCATCAAAGTTTGTGCCTGTAAGAAGAGTTTATAGATAAGGTTGCTTTTATTTAAGAGAACGGTAACAGTTTTTAATAATGGCAGCGATGTAGCAACATACTGTGAATTTGTCACAAGATTAAGAGGTTTAATTATATCAGTCAGCAGGAGACAGTGAACAACTTTTTTCATGAAGACTTATAGGATGTATGTAAAGTTTTTATCTTAGGCCCTGTATAGGCTGTTTGACCTCAATTAGCACTGAAGCATGTAGGCGTGTCAGTGATTGGAGCATTGTGGAATATTTTGGGAATTAGTTGATTTGTAGAGTACAAGAATGAAAGTAATTTGCTTTTGGGATACTGGCAAATTAAAACATTTAGAATCAGAATATTTTGTTTTGTTTTTAATTAATTTATGAGTTAAGTGCAAACTTAAAAATAAAAACAAAGGTTTTAGGCAGCAGACGTTTTACAGCCCTGTTTTTGTTTGTTTTTGAAACAGCATCTCATTTTGTAGCCCGGGCCAGCCTGGAACTTAAGACAAGCCTCCTGCTTCAGCCTGCCAAGTGACTGGATTACAGGCATGCACCGCCAAGCCTGGCTCCTTTCACCTTCTTTCTCTCCTCTCCCTTCTATTCCTGTTGTCTGAATGCCACACACTGCCTCCTCCAGACCCTGACCCCAAGACCTTCTAGTACATAAAAATAAAAAAAGGCACATCATTTATTTTGTAAAACAAAATAAGCAGCTGGACCATGGTGGTTCATGCCTGTAATCCCAGCACTCAAAAGGCTGAGGCAGGAAGATCATGAGTTGGAAGCTGGCCAGGTGTACTTAGTGGAACTGTGTCTTTGAAAAAAAAAATCATACAATCATACCTCCACTCTAGAAAAAAGAATGAATGCAAATAACAAGGAAGCAAGAAACTTTTATGAAATTAAAGCAAAGGTCATAAGTGTTCTACTCAGAAAAGTACATGCTATAGGAAATGCTAAGTACAATTTTATTTGAATTGTAATAATAAATATAATGATTCAAACGGGTATAAAAATGTGAGACCAAAATCTTTAGGCTTAAATATGTAAAAAGTCACTGTGAATATGGAAACATTTCTGTTTACATAAATACATATATTTTAGATGAAAAACCACAGGACAGTGGCATCTCTCTGGTCCCTTAATAATATTTGGATTAAAAAAATTTTTTTGGAATTTTTGTGTATTTCATACAGAAAATCATCTTTATACCCCCTTTCCCTTTGGCACCCTCCTATAGCCCCCCAACTGGAATTCATACATTGTCATTTCTGTTAAGGCCTATTATGTAAAGTTAGCGTCCCCAGATGTCCCTCAGAGCAAGTTCATCCATTGGGATCTAGTCAGCCTGTCTAGAGTCCCTCCCTTTAAGATCAGCTCTTTCTCACCCAGCAGAAATCAGCTGCCAATAATTTTTTGACTAAGATTGGGACCTGTTGTTCATTTCCACAGTTCTGTACTGGGTTTTTGTCTGCTTAAGTTTGCATAGGTCTTGTGCATGTTGACACCATTGCTGTGGGTTTGTAATTGAAGGGTCCCTGGAGCCTGTAATACTATTTCCATATGGTCATGTACCTCCTCCTTGGCTCTTACAATCTTTCTGCCCTCTCTTCCACAATGATCCCTGAGCCCTGGGTGGGTGGATTTTAATATAGGAGTCCTGTCCAAGGACCCACACTCTGTCGACTCTTATTCTCTGTGTTTTGGCCATTTGTGACCTTTTACATTCCTGGCCCTCTGTTGCATGAGGCAGCTTCATTGATGAGAATTGAAAGATGCATTAGTAAATATTTGAATTTTTATGAAGAATTAATAGCACCCAACCTCAAGTGTTACTTTTATTTTTAAAGAACCCATTCAACAGGTTAATTGACAGCGCTCCAGGTTTTAGAAAATGGCATTTTAAATCACCATTTCAAATGGGGATCACATACTGGGAAAGCTAAGAAAACCACCCTGAAAGGATAAATAGGGGGCTAGGAGGAAGAGAAGCTGAACAGTAGTCTTCTCCATAGTAATCGTTTTTTGTTTTTTGGTTTTTTTTTCATTTTTTTAAAATTTTTTTTTACAATTAAAGTTACAGTTTTAACAATATGCAAAATATTACAGTAATTCAGATTTTTTGGCATAATGATTACAGATTTGATAAATACATTTTGTATCTCATAATAGCGATGAGGATTATACAAAAGCTATTAAAACAATTATGAGAATAAATTCTATTGTCACTTAAGTATCTAAAGCTATTTTCCTTTGCGT